TCGTCATGGACCGGAACGCAGCAGCGCATCGCCCTTGACAGCGCCGACAGAGGACCCGAAAGAAGACGTTCCTCAACCGGGTGGCGCCAGTGTTCGCGCCCACGGGCGACCTGCGCTACGACGTCAGGATGCCTACCATTCCGCCGGGGCAATGGGGCCATCCCGAGGGCGCCGCTTACCCCGGCCACGATGCCATCAACAACACGTCCAAGCTGCGGAATGAGGCCCCGCTCTTCGAGCCGGCCCTAGACCTGGGGATCCTGCCGATTTCACAGAGATGCCGGTCAAGTTGCCAGATGGGCCCGATTGGAGCCGCAGCGGCAGAAGAAGGGTCGTAGACTTTGAGACCGACATTGTGTTGCAGGACTTCGAGAAGGCCGATGTCACCACGGATCTGATCAAGCCTAAGTTGGATCGCGCTGCCAAGTTGATTATTCAGTTGTGGTACAGGCCAGAGCTCGTTGCAGACGACATCGGAGCCAAGGCCATTCGGTTTGGGCCTGGAAGCTCGGAGCGCTCAAGCAAGGATCTTGCAGCTCCACGGCAACTTCGCCAGAATTTCGGCCACCCCAGCAACGAGGATATTGCCAGATCGTTGAGATTCTCAGGATGCAGACCAGAGGTGGTGAAGGCGGCGAAGTCTCTACGCTGCGCTACGTGCATGAGCAAGGTCAGGAAGAAAATCGCGAGACCAGCTAGACTTTCCCACGCAGCCGATTTCAATGAGCAGACTGGTTTGGATAGTTTTACGATCAAGGATGTGGATGGTGAATCCTGGGATTTCTTGTCAGTGGTGGATTTCGCTGTGGGCATGACCGAATGCCATCATTCAGAATTATTGGTCAAGGTGTTCACTCAGATATAGACAAGCTTGGCAGGACCACCAGTAAGTGCAGTTGTGGATTTGGAGTGTGGTTTTGGTTCGGTATTTCAGGATATGCTTGATAAGTTTCATTGCGCGGTCGCTCCAGTGGCCGGTTAAGCAGCATGGCAGCACGGACGGACTGAACGCCAAGGAGGTTGGTGGAAGGAGTTGGCCGAAAGGACCATCGCGCACACCGCAGCTTCAGGTGAGTCCGATATGCGCATCATCGTTTCCGTAGTCACCGGCGCCAGGAATGCATTGCGACGTCAATGTGGTTCCAGTCCGGAACAGTGGGTCTTTGGCAAAAGCGCCCGACTACCAGCTGATCTAGTGGGCGGAGCTCACCATGACGCAGCGCGCGAAGGAGCCGACTTACAACCGATGGAACGACGGCTCAAGATGTGGACCGCCGCCCGCAAGGCCGCCATGGAAATGCAGAACGACAACACGCTGCGCAAGGCACTGCTGGGCCGTGCCCGCGCGCGCCCACATCCGCATGAGCAAGGTGACTTTTTTTTCTACTACCGCCAGCTCAAGAAGGGCTCGATCAAGAAGGGCACCCGGTTGGGGCCAGCCGTGATCGCGGGCAAACAAGGCCAGAATTCATGGATGTCGCACGGTGGTTTCGCTAAGCTCGTAGCCCCGGAACATATTCGGCCAGTTACTATTGAAGAAGTCTGGTGGCCGGGAAGAGATGATCAGCATGGGGAAATTCTCGACCAACTTCAGCGTCTAAACCGTGATACTGGCGCCAGCGCCGATATGGAGGACGAAGATCTTCGAGGAGAGCAGCCAGCAGAATAATAGGAAGTTGTGGAGATGGAGGCGGGCGCTGCAGGAGCCCCCGCCGAGGACGCATCAGTGGTTCGCGATGGCGTCGAGCCCCCGCCTGCGGAGGAGCTCCCATCTGGGCAATCTGAAGCAGCACCATAATCACCCACTCCAAGTTCAACGCCGACACCTGGACAAGCACAGGACCGCCTTGTGCCGAACTGCGAGGGCTGGAACCGCGAGGAGTTTCAGCGACGCCGAGCAGTCTGCAGCCCACTCGATGACGCACCACATTGTATTCGAGGAAGTCAACAGCAAGAAGAAGCTGCACGAAGAATCGCCGGGCGACAAGCCGCTCGACAAGCGGGGCAGCCTCGCGTCGCCAGCATCGCCGACGACAGCGACCAGGGCGCCACTACCAACTCCAGCTTCGCCGCGATGCTTCGCGGCGCTCGAGCTCAGAGCGAGAGGCTCAGAAAGAAGCTTCAAGATAAAGAGATCGCTTGGAAGGACATCCCCGAGGAACACAAGCCACTCTACCAGAAAGCCATCGCCGAGCACTGGGGGGAGTGGAAGAAGTTCGGTTCAGAGGAAGCGCTCTCGCTGGAGGAACCCCAACAAGCTCGAAACGAGAATGGCAGCAACCGCTTTCTGCCGTCTCGCTTCGTGTTCCGCGAGAAGAATGTCAATGTCCGTACAGAGGCTAACCTCGCGCGGGTAAATGCCAAGACTCGACTATGTGCTGGAGGACACCGCGATTCAGATCTACAGACAGGAGCTCCACAGACAGATGTCCCTACGGTGACGCGAACCAGTCCGCTACTGTTCTTTATCATGGCAGCACGCTTCGACTGGGACCCAGTGCGCACCGACGTCGTGTCCGCGTTCATGCTGGGAGAGGAGCAGCCCAGAGACAAACCTCTTTTCATGGAGCAGCCGCCCCAAGGTCTACCAGGACTGCAGCCAGGACAAGTACTGCGCATCGTCATGGGCATTTTCGGATTGGCGACTGCCCCACGACAGTGGTGGGCTACTCTCAAGAACGCGCTGCTGAGGGTTAAGTTCGTGAGCAAGGATGACAAGCAGTTCAATTTGGTTCAGAGCTTGGTGGATGCAGCCTCATTCGTGGGGCATGGTTCACATGGAACTTTGCAAGCTACTGTGTGTGTTCATATGGATGATTTACTGATTGCCTCCAGGACTCCAGCCAGTTACGATATAATCAAGGAGCTTTTTCCGTTCGGAGGTTGGCAAGGACTTGATTGTATGTGTTGTTCTAGAGATGTTGTTCAACGTTCAGATGTGGGCAATCCGAATGAGCCAGTCAGTATTTGCCGAGCAGTTAGAGCCGCTCGATTTGACCTAGGGGCGCAAACGAGATCTAGGATGCCCTGCCGCCGAGATCGAGGCCGCCGAGAACCGGAGCTTGATTGGCAGTTTGGTTTGGCTTGCTACTCAGAATGATCAGATCTAGCTGCAGGCGTTTCGCTGGCACAGCGAGTGCAGAATTCACCGACGGTGGCCGACCTGATCGAGACCAATCGCATCGCGTCAGAGGCCAAGCGCTTCAACGAGACCGCCGTTACAATCCCGAAGCTGCAGGGCGAGCTCTGTATTCTTGTGTTTCACGACGCTGCATGGGCTAACGTGGACGAGCCTGGCGACAAGGTAGCCGGCACCGCCCGGTGGCAGGCGCCACATGCGCATCCCCTACGCTTCGGAGGCCCCGAAAAGGCTCAAGGCTAAGAGCCAGGCAGGATTTCTGCTATTCGTGGCCGAGAAGCGGATCATACAGGACGGAGGAGGCAAGGCCGCTTTGGTCAACTGGAGGTCAGCTACCACTCGAAGGGCATGCCGAAGCACGTTCGCCGCGGAGACCATGAGTGCAGTGGATGCTATGGGGGCGGCCATCGTTATCCACGCTTCAGTTCTGAATATGTTATTCTCGAAAACGAATATCGACAGCATCGATCCGACTTTGTGCCAGATTCAGTGCGTGACGGACTGCGTTTCTTTTTACGACACAATTTTCCGAGAAGGAGCCGTCAAACTTCCAGTTGAGCGTAGGTTGGTTTTGGATTTGTTCGGGCTGCGAGAACTCTTGGAGGACGAGATCGTGGAGGAATTTGCAGCAGCTAGTAAGTCTAAGTTGCTTTTAGCCTGGTGCCCAACTAAGTATATGCTAGCCGACGCTCTAACTAAAATGATGAATGGAGCTCAGATCAGGAAGTCGATGGGTGGAGTAATCATGCACCACCAAGACACGCCACCCAAGAGCGACCACGACTCGAATGCAATGCTGAGTGCGTGGGCGACCGACTGGGAATACATGGTTTGATCTATTCTTATGGTTGACAGGTATCGATAACGTGAGTCTACGATGCTTTTTCCATATTACGAAGCCTATCGGCTGCCTGTTCGTTTCCTTTGCAAGCTGTTTGCACTGCTATATGTTGCTCTTGAGATGGCGGATTGTGCCCGCTGCGGGACCTGGGAGTTTTATTTGTTTGGCACGTTCCCGTGCCCTCCGTAATTATGTTTCTTGGTCGACAAAGGGCAGCATAAATTTAGAACCCGTGTGAAAGCAAAAGTGCTGGATGGCCCAGCGTTTGCCCCTCGTTTCACTCGTTTTGCATCCGTAAACATTGCGGCTCCCAGGGCCCTTGAGTCTCAGGCGACATACGGAAAATACGAGCGCCTATCTCAGAAGTTTAATCTTCACAGTCCCTTCCCCGCGCCGCTGGCCGTGGGGCGGGGCCGGATTGGTGGCTACATATATCGTCTCTTTCAGCCGTGAGCAGCAGCAGGAGGAGGGAGGAAGGAGGAGGCAAGAGGGAGGAGGCGAGGGTCGAACGGAGGGGAATGACGAGGCGGAGGAGGAGGAGGGCGGCGGAGGAAGCGGAGAGGGGGATCTGGAGAGACAAGATGCAGAAGGAGAAAAAGGAGAGGAGGCGGACGGAGGATGGAGGATAGGGGGTGGACGAAGGGGGATCCAGATGGACTTCCGGAGGCCGCCAAAGGATAAGACACGTGAAGGATCAGCAACACAAGCAAGATACTCCATCTCTCTTCCCTTCCCTTCCTCCAGCCTCTTTCTCCCCCTCCTGTTCCTCCTCCTCCTCCTCCTTCCTCCAGCCTCTCCTTTGGCACCCTTCCCGGAGGCTTTGGTGCTCGCTGACACGATGCGGCAGCAACTGGCCTCACGTCGAGAGAGAGAGAGAGAGAGAGAAAAAGAGAGAGAGAGAGAGAGAGCACGCGAGCAGACAAGCACACCGCGGGAGAGCGAGCGGGCGTCGCTCCCTAACATAATCCGTCGCCCCTTTCGCGGGGAGCAGGACAACAGGGGCCGGGTGGCCCCGCGGAGGCGTCGCTCGGCGGGCTCGCGGAGGCGCGGGCGGAGGAGTCGCGGCTGGCCTTGCAGGCCCCCCCCCCGCTCGGGGGGTTTCGCTCTCCCTCACCGTCTGGTCGCAGCCGTCGTCGAACCTCGATCCTCGAACTTTGATCCTCGAGGTTCGACGGTTTAGTTCTTTGTGCACGTTCTTGGCCAATGTTGGGCATTTGGGAGGCGTGCCGTCGCCTCACGCTGGATTCCCCTCGACATGCTGGTCGGGTCGCACCCCAGGGGATGCCTGAGGGCCGGTTGGGAAAGAGGTCATAGTCGTCGTCGTCGCCGTCGTCGTCGTCGTCGTCGTCGTCGTCGTCGTCGGTGTCGTCGTCGTCGTCGTCGTCGTCGTCGTCGTCGTCGTCGTCGTCGTCGTCGTCGTCGTCTGATCGCCGGCGGCAGGTTCTACACGTGTCGGAGACGCCGCCTTCAGAGGTTCGAGGTTTAAGAGTGTTGTCCAACCCCCTTCCCTGGCCCTCCCCCTTCAGGATGTTTCTTTTGTTGGGGAGGGAGCCTCCGTCTGAAAGGCCTTTGAGCTTCTTCATTATATCGTTTCAGTGTGACGCTTGTGATGATTTTCGCCCAATCATGGAAGGATACCTCGGCGAGTTGTCGTGAGCAGGGGAGGACAGGAGCCACAAGTGGAACCTTCTGGGAGCCTTCTTGGGCCTGCTCTAGGAGCACCGACGAATCAGTGGCGATGCGGCGCGATCCTCCGACCCTATCCGCTCGGACCCCATTTGCGAGGCCTCCAGGTCCTGACGGAATACCGTACCATACTTGGAGGCAGATGGGGCCCTTTGCCGTTCAGCTCCTCTGGGAGGCGGGGCGTTTCTTGGAGACGGGCCTCTCACCAGGAGTGCCCGAAGACGACGCCTTCAATGCCTCGTTATTGTGCTGTTTGTCGAAGAAGCCTCTGCGCGAGGAGCAGGACGGCACGCAGGTCTACGAGCCCAAGGGCACGCGGCCTCTCAGCATCACCAATACGGACAACCGCATCATCGTCAATGCGTACAGGCTGCGATGGGAACCGTTGCTTGCCCCTCGGGTGACACCAGAGCGGCGAGGATTCCTTCCAGGCCGCTCCATGCTCAAGAATATAATCGAGATCGAACATGCAGCTATGGCGACCTCCCAGGTGAACGACGACGCCGCGATCATCTTGTTCGACTTCACAGCGGCTTTCCCAAACATCTCCCGCAAGTACCTCATGTTGACTGCCGTGGCGGCTGGGCTTCCGGCTTCGGCCATGAACGTGTTGCAATCTCTCTACCACAACACGACCGGGCAGTTGATTTTACATGGGCGTTTGTACGGCGAGGTTCTTCTGAAATCGGGCATCCGGCAGGGCTGCCCGCTCTCCCCGTTGGTTTTTGCACTTGCCTCCGACAGCTTGCTCCGGATTCTCGGGGTCAGGGTTCCCAGCGCCACAACCAAAGCGTTCGCGGACGACACCGCCATGACGATTCAGTCTTGGAAGCGGGACCATGGGACAATTTTCAAGACGTTCCGCGTATTCGAGAGGGTATCGTGTCTTGTGCTGGACGTTTCCAAGACGGTGGTAATTCCTTTCTGGGATGAGAAGTTGGAGAACATCCGTCTACGTATGGAAGTTGACCCGAGAACGCCGCCAGTTCCATGGGACACTTCAGGGCGATATTTGGGAATTCTTGTGGGACCAGGGAAACGATCGCAGTCAAGTAGAGTAGCGGCAACCAAGTACGAAGCCAGATTGGGCGAGTGGGATTGGAGCCAACTAGGTTTGCACACAGCGCTGGAAACGTATAACATGTACGTGTTGCCCGTGTTGCTTTTTGTTGCCCAACTGGAACGCCCGCCACCAGAAATCTTACATTTGGAGTCTGTGGCGGTTCGCCGTATCGCACCGGGCCCAGGGAACTGGTGCAACTGTTAAGGCCCAGTGAAGCGACCACCCCCCCCCTTCAAGTTTTCGTTCAGTGCGTCGCCCGAGCGTCGCCCGTGCGCCGGCCCTGGTTTGCGTCTCTGTCCCGAATCCCGGCCTCCCAGAGTGCGTGGGCGACATATGGCGCGACTTCGGAATTGCTCTGGCGATATATAGGTTTCCGACGCCCGTGCACCAGCAGCCATTGCGGCGGTCGCGGCGCACTCCTAGTTCGACGGTCCACCAACGCGTTCTGTTCCCACTTCGGCGCAAGAGGATTTGCTGGTGCTCAGTGTCGGGGGCGCCAACCGTTGCTGAGGACGAAGACGCCTCGCGTTGATTGGGGGCTGTGCGTGTCGCGCCGCGGTGGGGTGACGTCACGTCGCGCGACGCGGCGCCACTTCGCCCCGTCGCATCGCGCCCCGCGCCCCCATGTCGTTTCGCTCCAATCTTCCTGCCCCCCCCCTCTTCCTTCCTCTTCCCCTCGTCCAACGCGCTGCGCGTTTTGTCCCGTTTGCGAAATTTGTATTCAGTTCTTCTGTGCCAGGCTGCCGTCCTGTCCGCCTCCCTACTCGCCCCCGTTGCCCTTCCACCCTCCTGGAACTTCTTCTCGCCCTCCTCGCTCCCGCCGCCCCCCTTTCGATCGCCTTCCACCGCTCCCGCCGCCGCTGCGCCGCCCCCGCGCGCCCCCTCCTCGCCCGTCCGTTCCCATTTCCGCCCGCCCTTCCCTCGCCTCACTTCCATCCTCTTTTTCCCCCCCAATGCATCGGCGGGCGAGACGTCGCCAAATTGCTGCAGCGACGGACCGACGTTCAACATCTGACGGGGCGTGCGCTTGAAATGGATTAGTCCGTGCGCGCTGCATCTCCATGTCGTCTCTTGGTCTCCTCGCGTTCGTAGTTCTCACGTGCGTGTCTCGCTATTTCTACGATTGCCGCGCGCATCCCTTGATTGTTTCGCCAGCGGGCCGTGCAGTTCACATGCCGTCAGGAGTCCACGGCGCCCTTCGACCGATTCGCGCGCGACCTGCGCGCGACGCGCGAACGACCCGAGCGACGCCCGCGCGACGCACGCGCGACGCGCGCGCGACGCGCGCGCGACGCACCCCGACCCGCGCGCGACGCACCCTTGCCAGCGCGCGACGCACGATCGACCCGCGCGACGCACGCGCGACGCACGCGCCACGCGCGCGACGCACGCGCGACGCACGCGCGACGCACGCGCGACGCACGCGCGACGCACGCGCGACGCATGCGCGACGCAGTCGCGACTTTGCCCGCCCCTGGCATTTCTCCGAGCAGCAATGCGCAACGGCCGTCGGCCCGCCGTGCTTGCGCTGTTCACAAGTGGCGGCGGCTGCGCCCTCCATTGCGCCAGGAAGGGCGGTGCTTGCCCCTGTTATTTCCCTTTTCCTTCCTCGTCGTCCCTCCTCTTTTGTCATTCCTCCTCCTTCGTCCTCTCTCCTGCCTCGCCCCCCTCTCTCCTCCCCTTCTCTTCCTCCTTTCTACCGGCCTCCCTCTGTCAGTCCCTCCCCCCTCCTCTCTCGTCTTTGTTTTTTTTTCCCTTGCCACCCCGTGCCCCCCTTCATTTTCTTTTCTCCTTCGGCCCCCCTTCCACGGCCGCGGCGCGTCGCCGCGAGCGGCGCCCCCGCCTTCCGCGAACGGCCCCGCCGCCGGCGGTGGAGGAGGAAGATTACGAGGAGAAAAGGAGGGGGGAGGGGCAGGGGCGCGAGGCGGGCGCGGCGGCAAGGGCGGCCCGGCAGGCGTAGGGGGGGGGGGGGGCGGATTGGGCGGGTGCTTCTGTAATGGTCATGTTGGTGATCATGGTCGTGGTCGCGTTCGTCGCCTTGGTCGCGTTGGCGGCGGTCGTGCCGCTGGTGGTGGGCGGGCTGGTGGTGGTCACGTCGGTGATCGTGCTGGTGTCGGTCGTTGTGGTGGTCGCGAGAAGCGTGGTGGTCGTGGTGGTGATGACGGCGGTAAATGGTGTTGGTCGTAATCGTCGCGGTGGATGTGGTTGCGGTCGCATCCGTTTGTGGTGATCGTGGCGGCGGTAGTTTTGGCGCTGGCGGCGGTTGCGGCGGCTGTGGCGGCGCCTGGGGGGACCTGCTGGCCTATCGCCGGGCTGCGTTCAGCAGCATCGCTGCATTTGTAATGTTAGGGGGATTTGCTGATCTGCCGAGGTAGCCCAGCGGCCGCCTTCTTCTCGCCGAGAGGGCCGCAGCGTGGGCGACTTTCTTTTTCCCGAAGGCGACCAGCCTTTTTAAGCGGCCGTGGAGAGGGCGACGCGCGTGCGATCCGCCCCGTGGGTGTCCGCCGCGCTGGCGACGCACTCACCAAAGTGCCCCCTTGCGAGGGCGACGTGCACGTTCGAGAGGGCGGCTGGCCTTTTCGGCGGCCGACGCACGGGCGACGAATGCGCGACGCACCTCCTGTCGCGAAGGGGGGGGGGTCAGCGCGCCGGTCGCTTTACTGGGCCTTAACAGGTGCAACCCATTAGACATCCAGCGCGGCTCAGAGCGTGGATTGTCTCGAGAACTGCGACCACTGCGAGAGACGTGCGCCGCCTCCACGTTGCGGATGCATGCTTGGGAATCGCGCGGAGACGGGGGCATTCCATGGAGGCGCCTTCAGAGGGAACTTGTCGACGCCAAGGGGAACACCGAACATGTGGTCCACGCTGTGAGGCTCCGTGGCTGGCACGACCAGCACACGCCTACGGATGTTTTGACGGCAGTTCACGGGGCATCGAGGGCAGGCATCGACATTGGTTCGGTTCGGCGGCAAATTATTGGACGGGCGCGTTGACGGCGCCGGAGAGGCGGAAGTTTCAACGACGTACACAGCGGTGGTTTTGGAAGCAGCTTGTGGCACAACGGCGGTAAGATCCAGCACTCCGACTCTGGCACCGTTCGCCGCGGTGGCGCTTAGCAGGCCTGCCTGGCCTGACTGCCCGCTGCGCGCGCGCGAACCTCCGAAGGCTGCGCAACTGGGCAGCGGTCTTGAGTGCGATTTTCAACAGCTGGACAACTGATCGCCGCTTGCGGGCTCTACGCGGTGGACGGCGCACGTGCTTATTGGGTTGCCTGGCAGCCGCAGACGCAGCGGAGCATTATCTACTGTGCCCGGTGCTACGGGCC